CAGAAGAGGGCGGCTTTTCTACTGGTGCTGGTGGGAGTGAGCCTAGTTACTGCAGTGGCCGCGGCTGCCACAGGGGCAGGAGTGTTAGGCCTTAGCTTAGTGAGCTCTCAGGGTCTAGCAAGTCAACTGGCAGCATTAGATGATAGAGTGAGCCTAACCTTGGGAGAAAACTCAACCTCCCTTATTTCCCTCCAGCAACAACTTACTTCCCTTGCCCAGGTCACCCTTCAAAATTGGCGGGCCTTAGATCTGCTTACTGCAGAAAAGGGCGGAACCTGTATTTTCTTGTAGGAAGAATGCTGCTACTATATCAATGAGTCTGGGGTCGTAGAGCAAAGTGTAAAAAAACTGCAAGAATTACAAAAAGACCTCCACAAAACACGAGTACCTGAAGGCGGCCCTTATGGGTGGCTTCAGTCTCCCATAATGGCCTGGCTAATGCCTCTTCTAGGCCCCTTAATAACAGTTTATGGTTTACTCTTAATTGCCCCGTGTTTTTTCAAGTTCCTTCAACAGCACATAGCAGAAATTTCACACATAAAAGTTAATCAACTGTTGCTGCGTGAGTACTCGCCCCTCCCGACTGAGCCTCCGGCCATCAACCAGCCTTAAACCCCCGCTGCCCCCGATGACGCCCCTTGTCAGCCGGAAGTAGCCAGATCAAGTCATCACCTATTATGACCAAAAGGCTGTAATGTTAGGTGGAAGGCATCAGGGGAAGGGGTGAGCCTGCTGGACAAACTCAGGCCTCTCCAAACAGGTGAAGAGACCAATAGGTTCCGGTCCGCCCACATTCCAGAGCCTGATCAGATAACCCTCCCAACTAGAGCCCTTCCCCCAAGCTAAAGGATTAGTGGTAACCTTCCAGTACCTGGCTAAAGGCCAATAAGAGATCCCCACGTACCCTAGACGAGCCAATCCTCATGCCAATGTACACCTTTGCCCTCCCTCCCCCTACCTTCTTTAAAAACTTGCTGCCTGCCCTGTTGGGTGTGACTTCCCTGGCCTGTAATTTCCAGACCAGTGGAATATCACCCTGGGATTGTGTTCAAATAAACTGCCTAGCCCTTTGTTGCCTCTCTTCACCTGCTTACTTCGGTCAGAATTTATTGGAATTTATCTTACAAGATCAACATCACAAGTCAGAGTAAAGGAACAGATTAGGGTGATCCCTGGGAGAGAAAGTTTAAAATAAGCTTTATTTTCAGCACAAGCATTTGTCTGTGCCCAAAATGCTGATGTTTGGCAGGGAAAGAAAAAACCAGTTTGGGCTGTTATAACAGAATATCATAGACAAGAAGGCTTAAACAACATTTATTTCTTACAGTTCTAGAGGTTGGGAAGTCTATGATCAAGGCACAGGCAGATTCAGTGTCTGGTGAAGGCCTCCTCCCTAGTTAGTAGATGGCCATCGTCTCTATATCCTTATATGGTGGAATGGAGATCTCTGTAGTCTCTTTTGTAAGAGCACTAATTCCATCCACCTTTATGACTTAATCACCTCCCAAAAGCTCCATCTCCTAACACTATCACACTAGGAATAAAGATTTTAATATATTAATTTTGTGGGGGACACAAATTTCAGGCATACCATGAATTATAGTATATGCTCAGTTTTAAAACACTAGGGAGACACTAGGAATAGCTATGCATTCCTATAGACATACAGAAAAATCTGTATATCCTATTAGATATGGCAGAGTCAATTTTTCAAGTGCAACATCTATATGATGGGTGCCTCTCACTCATCTATGGGCAGAGCCATGGACATTATATCCTTGAGTAAACTGTCTCTACTTATTTCTTAAACTTAACTTTCTAGCTACTGACAAAACCTCTCTCCTTGACCAAATCTGAGTCTGGCTCCTCTGAATCCTCCTCTTGACTAGTCTCCAAGAGTGGGCTCTGTCCTTGGTCCTCTTAGTCCAGTTTTAGCAAGAACTCTGCTGATTCAGTGAAAAATCTCCCACCTTTGGTGTATGATTATGCTGTATATCTGATAAAATTTCTCATCTCCCACTCAGAATCTTATCCTGGCCTGCCTATAAGTAGAATCCTGCTGAGTCAGTCTAGCAAGAACCTCTTTTACTCTGACGTTTCCTCTTATTAATTTCCCGTTCACTGACCTTCACCCTGCTCCTTGGCTATAAACCCCCAACTTGTCCGTATTTTATTTGGAGTTGAGCCTGATCTCTTGTTCCTACTGCAAAACCCCTGTTGCAGTAATCCCTCTTGAATAAAGTCTTCTTCACTGCCTTTAACAAATGTCATGAATAATTTTTTCTTCAATACTACTGCCACATAACCTTTTAGCTCCACAGGAAATGGATTTCTTTCTCCTGCCTCAAGACCTTTGCCGATTACTTTGTTTTCCAAGCTAACTACTATTGTTCTCCAAACTGAGCATCATTTTTCAGGGAGTTACTCCCTGAACTCCAAGGCTATTAACTCTCACACAAGATGTTCCATGGCACCCTTTATTTCTTAACACTCTTCACACTTGCAATTTGTTGTTCATTGTGAATTCTATAAGGATAAAAGCATGTTGGTTTTGTTTGAGTAGATACTCAAATAGTGGAAGGAATGAGTAAACACACACAGAAGACCAACAAATTTAAACAAAAGAACACAAACATACAAAGAATGGAGTTTACTTATGATATTTAATTTTTATGCTCACTTATAATTTTAGCATGGCATTAATAACACAGAAATCAAATATTGACTTAATACTTAATGTCTATCAACTCCAGTTTGGGTTCCATTCTATTAAATCAAAAGGAAGCTTTCCAAAGAAGATCCTCTAACTTGACTAATATTGTAAAATATTAATAATGATACTGATTGTCTTCCTGGCTCATCAATAGGCTGCAAAAGAGAACACATTCACTTTTTAAAAAGTATCAAATCAAACCTCAAGCCAAACATAATACTGTGTATGACCTGGAAGTGGTGTTCTTTTTCTTCTAACATCTACATGAGCAAAATTTTTATTTTTATTTTTTATTTTTCCTAAGTTCTATTTATTTATATGACTATTTAAGGTTGGTAGGTTTGTTATACTAAGACAAATTAGATTTTGAGGTTTCATTCTAATTCCTAAAGAATAGAGTAATATATATATTTTTCCACATAATACATGCATACATTCCCACTGAAAAACAGAAAAACAGAAAAGGGATGTAAAGTCACCATATCATTAATATGAGCTATGCCCAAATAACAAACTGTATAATTCCCCCCCGCTCATTATGAAAAAATATTTTACTGCTCACAAAAGCCAAAGGCAGCAGACAGCTAGCAAGAGCTTCAAGGATGATGACATCCCTATTAACACTGTATGTTGCCTTACCTTCAACCTTAGCTTCTTTCCAGTTTTCCCTCCCTCCTTTCCTTATTTTTCTTTTTGTAAAACCCACCTAAATTCCAGAATGAGCTAGCATACCCTGTCTTTGGATTGACTGTCTTTAGACAGAAACCAGAAGTTCTAAAGAATCCACTTTGCAAACTCTACACAATAGATCCTCTCCCCCAAGAGAGGTTGAAAATTATGGCGTGAAGGATCCCTTTACCTACAGGGTCACTCTGGACATTTATGTACTGTGTGGAGCAGCAGAGGGGGTTTGGGTTGCCACAGGATTCCAATCTGGAAGGCCCAGTACAGGTCAAGGCATCTCAAATCTAGTGGAGTCCTCAAAGAAGAAGACTGGCAACCGGGGCCCACCTAAGGACTGGGGATTCGAGATGTACCCAGCTTCCCTACAACCCAACATGACCTTCCCCTTCTAATGCCTCAGTGTCTGCTAAATTCCATGTAGCTCCTGCTTTTCTGTGAGGATACTCTGCAGGAATTCTCTTTTATTATTTTCTTAGGCATTCTTTCCTTTGGGTTCCTAGGGCAGAAACATTACTGAATAGAGAAAAAGAAAGTATAAATTTAATCAACCAAAATGGAGTCTTGAGTTGGGGAAGGGAAGCAGAAACCAAGGGCACAAATCAGAAGCAATCATGGCAGGAATGGAAGACAGGCTGAGAATGGGAGCCCTTCTGTCCAACTTCGGTTTCCCTCTTCCCTCAGGAGACAGCGGAATCATTAGAGGGGAGGTGGGAGGAATGGAAATTTCTTACATATTCAGAAATATTCATCTGGGGGAGAAAGAGGATGGATAAACAAGTTCTGCATACTGGCAGGCTGGGGGGCCTCTCCAGACCCCTTTGGCAGACTGGGAGGAGTTGCTCACCATCAAAGGGAGAGGTGGAAGTCAGGAAAATGTACATCCCTAGGGTCCTCTGTGGGAAAGGAACATGTAACACATTAGAAGTTTCTGATGATGGAAGGAGGATGGAATTATATTGGGGCCTGGGATGTGACTCAGGAGGGGCAGGCCTGGGCAGAAAACAACAGGTTGCACAAAGATGTGGGCCAGCAGTCAGATAGGAGGACCTGGGAAGGGGCTGGTATGACGGCGCAGAGTGTGGAAGCCAGGCTTGGCCAATTGTACTGGGTAAATCACTCATTACAGCTCCTGTCTGGGCCTTGGGGGCAGATCCCTGCATGCAACCAAACCAAAAGGCTTCCAAGAGCTTCCAGAGGAACATCCCTAGGTGTGACTCTCCATATTTCAGGGTGTCTACTGCACAGGTGCTCTGTGTCTGTGAAGCCAGCCTGGCAGCCAGCCTCACTGGGGGCAAAATGGATTTTCTTTTTAAGTTACTGGTTTGTCTCTCATTTGGTTTTCCCTTTTTTTAATATATAGCAAAGTGTGTTATGAATGTCCTGCCCTCTCTCAGTTACCTTAGGAGAAAATAAGAGAAAAGCAGTTTTGAAGACAGCCCAAAGAGAAGAAGCATCAGCAAGCCATGGGTCCAGTTTGGTTTGGATCTGGCAGCAGCAACAAGAGGGGTGAGAGAACAGAATTCCAAGGTGGAACAGTAATGAGAATCCCTACATAAGCAAAATTTCAGTGGGCCAAAAAAATTTTCGATGATGAAAAGGTAATTTACACACTTTGCTTTCTCTTTGTGGAGCTTCTAGTTACTATTGGCATTCGGGAAAAACTGATAGTTGTTTTGGCTTTCAAAGCTTTTTTGAAGTATTTAAAAATTGACTGAAGGCTAGAGGAAGGGGCTAAATTGTGTTTTTCTGTACCAGCAGAAACCATAGGAAACTCCTTTTTTAAAACAGTGGTTGCGGGTTTATCCAAAGGCCTAGGACTTGTCACCCATTCACGGCAATGATGCTTTATCCATGCTAATAACTGTTCATCTTTTCCCAGCTGGTGTCCTGCATGATGTTCAGAGTCAACAAGTGCAACAGCATACACTTTACTCATCACTTCCCACTTTCTATGGACAAGCAAGTCCATAAAAACCAAGCCTCCATAACCATGTACAATGAAGGCAACATCCTTGCCTTCAGTCTTTGAAATAAAATAATCCCAAATATAAACCATGTGTTCTTCAGGGGTGTGGCTGCATCTTTTTGGAATGCACTGGAAAGGCTGCTGGAGAGAGAATAAGCTCTCAGCTTGAATCATTTTTAGGGAAGAAGTCTCAATATTTTGTCTTAACAGGCCTTTCCACTCTTTTTCCATCTTTAGGTCCACAAAATTGTCATTGGGGTTTAGCACAATTATATCATAATGTGCCTGCAATGCCATTTGAATACACGGTATCTGACTTCCATGTTGGAGACCATGATGTATTATTGCCTGCTGACTCCACTGACCAGCTCGAAAGACACCACGGTCTTGAAGAAGGACCAGAAGAGCAGAATGATGATTAGTCAATGCTTTCTCACTCATGAAAATGAAGCTTCTTGGTTCCTTATCAGCCTCCAGTGGGATATATACTTTTTGTAATTTGCACACTTTCTCCAAAAGCTCATAGATGTATTGCTCGAGCAAATGGCCAAGGGCCTGGTAGCGTTTGCTATTCCTTTCAAGGACATTTTTGTAATAGTTAAAGACAAAAGGACTTTGTGTCTCAGTGTGTCTCAATTCAGCTTTTTCATTGAAGTCATATTTAAGTTCTTCTAGTAAGTCAGATTGTTCAATAAACTTTTGGAAGCTCAGCTCCTTAGTCACTGGTAACCACTGAAAGTAAAAATCAGTATGTCAGTGCAAGAAAAAATAAAATAAAAATTTCAGCTTGCTACATTCTGTGGGAAATCATTCTAAATTAAGTACATCATGACAACATTAACCTTTCAACCCATGCTAAAGGTTTTGACTCAAAATAATTGTGAATGACACCACATAGTGGGAGACTGAATATACTAAGTGACAAAGGCCAGAACATATATAAGCACAGAACTCTGACCCATAACCTGCAGCAGCTTGCCCAAGAAGCCAAGCCCTCATCCACTGTAAACAGCCCAGGAAGCAGCCTGTTACAAGTCAGACTTACAGGAAGTCAGATATCTACCTCTAGAGACAATCCAGGAAGCTAAACAATAACTTCTGTATAGTTAGTTCAAAATAGTCAGGACTTGATTAATAACCAACAGCTTCCCTAATTTTTATCACTGCTTCCAATTTAGCACTCACCAGAGAAAGCCAAACATGCACCCCTAATCAATCACATAAGATGTCCTGCTTCTAGTTAGCCTGCTTACAGCTTCCCCCTGCCAGCAGCTTCCAATTAGGACATACCAGTAACCTTCCCTTTTGCCACTGTAAAGCTTTCCCACTCCTTGCCTGCCTTTGAATGTCTGTCAAAATGCAAGCGATGGTGGCTGACTCCCTTGCAACAGTGAGCTCAACATAAATACATTTTGCTTTTCTCATTTGGTTGGTCTCTGTTTATTCCCACAATAAGCATTTAATACATTTTGCTGTTAAATTAATGGCAGGGGATAGCAGCTGAGGTGAATGGGAACCAGGTAGTGTGGGTTGTGATCTAATAATAGAAGATAGTTATTCTGATGTCTGAGGAGTAATAAGCAGCTGACTGTGAAGTTAACTTATACAATTATTATGGACAGAGCCTAAAGGGAAAAGAAAGGACTTTGAAAGGTTAAGTGGCTTGCCCTAAAACCAAACAACTATTACGTAAGCTGCTCTCCAGGCTTGAATTAAAACGGTTTTGCTTTGATTTCTTAATGCCTTTCTCACTTTCTGGGTCTTATTCTGATTCCCACATTTGATTGGTACTTTATGAAGGTGTTTTGACATCCAAAGCACTGAATCTTTCTAGAGTGCTTTCTATTCCTTCCTATTACATTAAAAATTATTTTTCTTCCAGTGTGGTTGTTCTCAGGTAACTAATGTTTTTTTCCAAAGTGTTAATTACAGAGAGGCCTAACCATCCTCTAAAAGGAGAATCTTCTGGAATTAGATTGATTTAGGTTTAAATCCTTTCTAATTTCCAAGATATGCAACTTTGAGCAGGTTTCTTTTCTTCTATGAGTTTCAGTTTCTTCAGCTACTAGGTTTTGGTTTATTTAAGCTATCTAAAACAGCGATCCTTATTCCTTTCTATGCTGCTACTCTCCTGTATTCTTCTCCAAGGCCTATATTACCATGTGATATATAATTGTTCGCATATTTTTAAACTTTCTGTCTTCCCTTACTAGAATGAAAGCTCATAGAAATTCTCACAGAATAGGAATTTTGCTTCATTAACTGATGTACTTAGAACAGTGTCTAGCACATATTATATAAGTATCGTTTGAAGGAATAAATCCAAAATAGGGATAACATTATTTACTTCACCAGGGTGTGAGAACTAACTAATGCAAGTACAAATCATCTTACATGTGTCTTACACAAGGAAGTTTCTGTGAAATTAGAGAGAATGATCTTTCTTTTTGAAAAACATTAAATAAAAACCAATATATATCTCTTGTCTAGCCTTTCTTGTTCACTCAACATTGTGATTTTTATCCATATTAATAACTATAGTTCTAAGTCACTCATTGTATCTGCTTATAGCATTCCATTGCTTGAATATACCATAGTTTGTTGAACTAGTTTCCTTTTGAACAACATTTAGGTTACTCCAATTTTCCTCTATTATAAACAAATATGCAATTAACATTATTACAGCAATATTTTTGTGTACATTTCAAGAGTTTCCCTAGTTAATATACCAAGAAGTGGAATTTCTAGGTCTTATCAGCATCTTTCGCTTTCCCAGATATTGTCAAATTGCTCTCCAAAAAGGAAGGTCTATTTTATAATTTGGCATGGGCAAGAAGGTTTGCACAGAAAAGCAGTACTCTCCTAGATCTAAAAATAGTTCATTCAGGTGCTGTGCTGCAAACTGCCTTTTTCTGTATCAACCAAAAGTGCAAGATACAGAATATTTAAAACTCAGTGAGTGAAACACAGAAACTGATTATTTAACTTCTCTTTCCATCAGAGAGTAAAATAAATAAAATCAGTATTTTCTAATAGCATACAGTATTCAGCATTCCATTATTCTTTTTTCATTTTTGTTATGTGTGTACCGAGAGAGAAAATCGTTTGAGAGATAATTGTCAAGGGTAAAGAATGGGAGTTTGCAAACTGGAAAACCAAAATGGCACACAGATATATCAAGGGGTGGGGTGGGGGTGGGGTGAACAGGAGCAATATGGGGAGTACCTTGTAGAATAAAAATGAAGACAATTCTTTAGAATTTATTTCAGCACATTTTCCTTAGCATATATACTCCAACCTGTAACTGTCCCCTACCTGAATTCATATCTGACTTTCTACTTGGTATTCACTTGGATGTCAAATAGCCATCTCAGACTTAACATGTCCAAAACATCCTCTTCCACTTAATCTCTAGTCTTTCCTACCTTACTAAATGTCAACTCACAGTGGCTCATGTTGTAAACTTCCCTTTTTTCACACATCACATCCAATCAATCAGCAAATCTGGAAGCTTGTTGTTTGAAATGTATCTGCAATCTAATAATATATCACCCCTCCATCTCTACCATTCTATCCCAATCTCTGACAACTCTCACCTTCATTAAGTCTCCTATCCAATCTCTTGGCATAAACTCTTATCTCTCAGCAGTCTTTTTCCCACATAGCAGTTAGAATGATCTTTTCAAAGTATCTAAATTGGATCTTACACCCCTGTTTAAAATTCTCAGTAGTCTCCTCCAACACTTAACAAAAAAGCCTAAATCCTTACCATGGCCTACAAGGTCCCACATGGGCCTTAGCTTTCCAATGTCATTTTCTTCATTCTTTCACTTGCTTATCCATCTAGTTACATGATCTGGCTCTTAGCTCTTTCTCAGGTGTCATTTCCCCCACTCATACTTACTTCCCTTTGGCCACACCTGGCCTTTCTCTTCCAACTTGTGAGGCAAACTCCTATTTAAGGGCATTCCCTCTTGCTATGCCCACAGCTTGGAAACTCTTCCCCAAGATATATATAGGGCTTCACTTCCTTCAAGTTTTTGCCCACCTGTTAGATGATCAGAGAAAGGACAATTCCCTCCAATCTTAGCTCACTCCCTATATAGGATGCTTCATTTCTTCTTCCTTCCTCCTCTTCCCTTCCTTCCTTCATTTTACTTTTTTCTCTTTTCTTTTTTTTAATGCACTGTTACTAACTGACATATACTTGATTATTTTCTGTTTCTCCTGATTAGAATGTAAGTTCCATGGGAGCAGAGAGAGACTTTGTTTTGTTCACTACTGTTTCTCTAGTTCTTGGACTAGTGACTGGTAAATAGTAGGCACTTAAATATTAGTGCTAGAATTTTATGATTTTTGCTAAGGGTGTAAGGAAATAAAGAACAAAAGTCCTCTTACTTGTATACACAGGAGAAAGATGCACACAAAGCTTTTGAAAAATTTAGACTTCTTGTATAATTCCAAAGTTAATGAAGACCATATTATGAATTATTATGAATCTATTTTTTGTAAATCAAGATGGTCTACTAAATTAAAGGAGAAAAACAAGCTTTGATGCTTAGTTAATGTGTTTATTTTATAGAGAAGTGAGGCTTTCAAAGGTGAAGTGATATGTCCAAAGTAACTCAGGCAGCTCTATGAGCCTGACAGAAGATTAATTTTTACTAGTGATTTTAAAAGTGCAATGTCTATTCATTTCATTAATTCAACAAAAATTTAGTGGTGGCATGTGTTAGATACTTAGCTTCCTATATCAAGTAGTCCAGTCATTTTACATGGAGTGGAATTTAAAAAAGGGAGAATAGTATATAATAATTAATGAGAATTTCAAATTAGGTCCTTTTAGTAACCTGGATTAGGGGGACACAGCTATTATGTTTTGTTCTAGGTATTAGCTATTATTATTTCTAGTTATTTTTAAAATTTGTGGTAAAACATACCAAAATTTAACACTTTTACCATTTGCAGGTGTGCAGTTCAGTGCTATTAAGTACATTCATAATGTTGTGCAATCATTACTGCCATCCATTCACAGAACATCTTTCATCTTGCAAAACTGAAACTTTGTATCCAGTAAATGATAACTCTTCATTTCTCCTTCACCCCAGCCACTGGCAAACCATCTATTTTCTGTCTATGAATTTGACAAGAAGAGCGGGTGCAGCAATAGAATCACAGAAGCAAAACATTTTAATTAGCTTATTTGATTTTAAGGAGCTCCTTTCCTCTTTAGGATCATAAAGTAGTTATATTTAACAATATTTTACATCCTTCACAAGTGATTAGTAAGCTTTTATAAAAATGTAATTTTACAACTGGAGAAGTTAGGGTGTTACCCTGGCTATATAGTAATAACTTATAATAATTATAGTCCTTTTGTATATCCTGTGCCATTAAGAAGCACAGAATGCAGGATGCTTCATTCTGAATATCTAAAGATACCTTTTTTAGTAGAATGAACATGTTTTTATTTATTTATTTAGAAAAAAACACCAGTAGAAAACATATTTTAAGAAAAATTATTTTTGGTACAAAAGCAGCACTATTTTTATTTTCCTAACATGATGCAATTATGAGGTTTTTTTAAGAAAAATAATTATCCCTTATACAACTCCCCCTAATAAATTGCAGAAAATAGAAAATGATAAAGCTTATGAAATCATATATATAGAAGTTTAAAAAAGAGCAAACTATATCCCTTTCCCGGTCTACCTTTCCCCAGTAAAGACTAAAGACTGAATTAAATCCACCTGAGGCAAAGACATACAGAAAATAGGTTGGGACAGAAAAGAAATGAGATGTCACCAAATCTTGGGTTTCCCAAATTTGAATATGCAACAGAGTCTCAAAGGAAAGTTTATGAAAAAAAGTTTAGTTATCTATTACGAAGAGAACCATTCTGTATCCACCTTAGGCACCCCATAAAGTGCGTACAAGTGCCCTATCCCTTGCTCCAAAAGTAACCACTCTGAACTTTTATAGAAATTACTGCTTTGTATTTCTTCACGGTTTTATCGCCTAAGTGTGTAGCTTTAGGACCTACAGTTCAGCTTTATATTTGTAGAGCAAACAAACAAAAAAACTTGGCATGTCTTCATGGTAAACTTAGAGATTATTAGGCCCCACTTCTAGGAGATTCTGATTCAAAAGCTCTGAAATGGGAGCCGGAAACAGGTAATTTAAGTAAAGATACTCCCCCAAAATTCTAAAACAAGATTTTGGATTTACTGCCTTTGTCCAGTCTGAGATCCTATGCTTCTTGATTTGGATTATTCAGAGGTAAGTGGGTACCAAAACTTCAAAGATAAAGATGAGTCTAATTAAAGCCTCAATTTTACTATAGTACCATAGAATGAAAATTTTCTATTGACATCAAACAAATGTATTAAGGCTCAGAAATGCCAAATTAACACATTTTAAGATGGAACACTTCAAAGAAGTTAGTGGGTCCTGTACATAGGTACAGGATACCTTGGGCTCAGCCCCAGGGCCAAATGATAGTTTAGGATCTTAGGTTACAGGTTTGTGCACAGATTCCTTCTATGGCTCCTTGGATAAAAGATTACCCATCTACTGTTCAAATACCTGAGTTACTGAAGATTTTCATAACTTCTGAGAACATGGTATTCTACTGCAGGGCAGTTACAATTGCTGATTATTTTAAAAAGGAAGATACCTTTGAAACCAAACAACCTCTGTTTCTTTTCAGGTTTAGATGTTACTTCATGTATACATGGGAGAAAAACTTCCTTCGTGCAAGAATTCTCAGTATTTTCATTAACTACTAATGAAAATGAGGTGAACACATAACACAGGCTCCAAAAAGCTTATAAAATCAGGTTTTCCTGGAGCCCATGGTAAAGAATTCCAGATTGTTCATTTTAATATTTAAGACAGTTCAGGAAGTCAAGGTGTTTTCAGTGCCCATGCAAACCTATTTACATTTATACTGTGCTTAAATCTAATTCACTTGTGATGAGAAAGGGCCTTTTGTAAATTTCATTAAGCTCTCTTCAAAGAAATTGTTTATCAAAGGATAAAATAAAGGGTTGATAAGTTTCACATTGTTGCTATGTCCTATGAAAACCATATCCACTGCATAAAACAGAAACAACTAATTCCTAATTTAAATACTTTATATGCACTTTTAACACTCAGTAAGAACCATACCCATTAAGATGATTAAATCAGTCCATCCTCTCAAAATATTGGGCTGATGAATTTCTAATCTCAAATTATTTTTAATTAAAAACTCTATAAAGTGTGAGCTAAATACATATAAAAGAACTGACATTATCCCCAAACATACTAAGAAAATAATTTTTGTCATTTTTTAAATAAAAGCTTTCACCTGAACTTCATAAAACACTATAAAAGATCATTTAGTTTTTCATAAAAGGCAAAATGAGGTTATTAAATGATTTACTCAAAAGTAAAAAACAGCTTTTTAGTCCTTTAGTTGTCTGCAATACAGTTCCCTATGGAGTAGAGAATCGTTAATCTAAAACAAAATAAATACTGATTAAAAAAATTTGAAGTTCTTGACCTTAACGGTCATTTATCTTCAAATATGTTGTTCAAAACAAGCTCCAATTCAAAGAAACAAACTATCTCATAGGTCTTTACTAGCAGAAATAGTATATTTGATTCAATATCAAGTTTAATATATTTGCAAGCTGAATGCTTTGATAATTTATAATTTCATTTATCATAAGTTAATGTCTTACTGTTAAACTTTAAAACCACTTACTTTTATGGAAGCTGCTGTTTGGGGAGAAACGGATCAGGCTTACTTACATTTTCCTTTTTTATGTTCTCATCTCTCAGCTCTATTTCCATCTTTTGCAGTTAATTTGTATCATGTAATAGTGGCTAACGAATTAAGCCGGTTTGATTCTTGATTTAAACTATTCAGTTAAAAAAGTTGATCTGTGAGGAAACTTAAAATTCAGATATTTTTCCAGTAAGCACAGAGGTATTGTTAAACTGGTTTCCAAATGAATCTTACAATGAATTTCAATCTCAGCAAGCCCTGAGGTACTGCTGCTTTTCAGCCATTGGGCCCTATAGGACACTCCCCCAGCCCAATAGGCTTTAACACCTGGAGGCTTCTATTCTACCTCAACACAGACCACATAAGTGGTTAAGACGCAGAACTCGAGAATCCCAAGACTGGGCTCTAGCTGTGGGTTGGGCAAGTCTCTGTATTCACCTAGGTAAAATGAGGGGGAAGGGAGTGGATGTTACTCAAATCAGGGTCCCTTCCCAGTTGCAACATTCTTTCATTTCTCCTCTGACTAGTGTAGTGCACTCTTTTGAGTCGTTAAGCTTGTGATGAAAGCTTACAAGTAGGAAAAAAATGACTGAAATACATACACTATGGCTAATAGGGCAATTTTCTAAACTGATGGGCCATTTGAAAGTCTAAAAAAAATCATCTGTCTAAAAGCACTAGCCATAGAGTTCATTGAGGACGGGGCTATTCCTTTAAGTACTGTAATAAAAATTAGTTGAATGAATTACAGGTTACAGCCACCCATTTTCTAACATCATCTCAGCATTTGGTGTTTAATAAAATGAAGCCCAGCGTATCTTTTTTTTTTCCCCCGGGCCTTTAAAAATGAGGAGTTTGTGTTTTTAAAAGATCCTATTACTATGAAATTTTTTTCTCAGCTGACCGAATTAATTTCTTCAAATGCTAAACTAACAGCCAGGTTTTTAGATGACTTTGCCATCTTAAAATGTTTTTCTGAGTTTGAGGAACAGCCTTGAAGGCAAATACATAGGAGAGACCGTGAGGGAAGCAATACTCTGAAAGGTGTAACGTTTTATGCCCACATTTTTGGGGCCACCAAGCCTTATTCAGTGAATTGGTGGACTTCCTAAAGTTTCCCTTTTTAAATTTAGCCTAGTCTTCAAAGTCAACAAAGCCCTTGAAAACCTCAGGCTAAACCTCATACCCAGCCACACTTTGTCATAGCGACAAATAAACGAAAAAAGCGCCACTTAAATAAGCACTTGAGGTGGCAACCCACACAGAAAACATGTCCCAGGAAGCGGCTTCCGGGTGGAGGTGGGAGGGGCGGCTTATTTCCGGTCTGAGGGCCGGGGACGGCTCTTGCGCAAGCGCGCTTCGCACTTCCCTGGCTTTTTTTTTTTTTTTTTT